CCCCCCCCCCCCCGCCCCTCACAACGCGGAAAATGAAGCTCTGAGCTCCACTGTGGTCAGAGAGGATGCTTCCCCAGAACTCAACCCAGCCTCCCAGCTGCCACCTTCCAGCTGTGAACTGGTTTTAGTGGTTTCAGCCGCTCTGACTAATCCCACCCTCTGAAAGACCGGCCTCCATCCTGCCAACAGTTTGGGTTAAACAGCAGCTGGGACAGATTTCTGACCCGGTCGCTCAGTTAAATCCAGAGTAAAATGCAAGTAAAACAACATTTTTTTAGGTAAATATTAGGGATGGGACGGTTTCTGAAAACCGTCTGAACCGTTGGGTTGGACTGTCTCGGTTCGGTTGGCGTGTGTTGCGTTCGGTTCATGCTGCTCCTTTTTCTCAGAGGGAAGCGTTTACACTCCAGACCAGAAGGGGGCGCTACTGCGCCGAAAGCCAACCACCAGTAGTAAACAAGAAGAAGAAGAAAGCAGCGTAGCAGATAAAAATCCGACGCGCCAACAGCTAGTTTCTAGGTCTGCTGTATGGGACCACTTTGCATTTAGAGGGACGCATATGTTGGAATTAGCAAGTTAGCAAGTTTCCTCGCTTGCAATGCCAGAATCTCACCTACTTTGAACCTAAGACTGTCACAATAATGTATCAAATGTCAGACTGTTTTTTTCTTTCAGTTTTAACCTGACTAATACATAATAGACATAATAGATTTTCCTTACAATCAACATATACCGAACCGAACCGAAAACCGTGACCACGAAACCGTGAATCGAACCGAACCGTGGATTTTGTGAACCGTCCCACCCCTAGTAAATATGTTTGTAAAGGCGCTGTGGACACAACCCATCCAATCCCCCATGAGAGGGAACCCAGCCACAGACGTCCACACACAGTCTGTTGTGTAATAACGAGAAAAAGTTCTGAACCCACGAAGAAAAGAAGGCGAAAAAAGACTGAAATCTATCAGTGATTGGAGGCTAATGCTCCAGCTGGCGTCACACACAAACGTGTCATGAGGCCTAAAATCAGCTAGAAAACCAGGAGCTCCTTCAAGATTTCAGCCGGACGGTGAATAGAAGCATCAGGAGTCCAGGAGCCCCCAGAGAGACCGGAGGAGCTCCCAGAGAGGAGGCGGAGGCTTCATGGTGCGGGCCAGTTTCTCACCCAGGCTTCAGACGGCCAAAGATCGGGAAAAAAATGGAATTTGGAGCTGAAACATCTGGACTGAGCTGACTTATCTGGACTGAGCTGAAACATCTGGACAGACCTTAAACATCTGGACAGAGTGGTAACATCAACTCCACCATATCTCTAAAATATACTATTTAGATTGAATTTAATTTACAATTTTGACTATTTAGATGAATGAAAAGAGCAAAAGCGTGTGACAGCTGGAACAACCTATTTAAACTAAACATTTATCTATAACATTTATCAAAAATGGCCAATGGAGCTTCTGGAAATCACAGATCTTTGACTTTTTGTGGCGGTATCTACATTCTTTTTTTTATATACATCTTTTTATTGATAAATGGGGCCTATTTGCTCAGTTTTTTTTAAATTTCCTATTGTTTCTCTTTAGGGAAAAGCCCCTCATGGGCCTGTTGCCTCTGATAATGACAGAGGATCTAACTCGTGGACATCTGTGCTTTGGTTTCTCTGCCCCTTCAGAGGAGTATTTACCCAGAAACCGGTCGGACGCGTCTTTGAGCTGCCGTTTGTGTGAGTTAACCCCCCCCAACCCCCCTCCGCCCCCCCCAGAGGCCTCGCAGCCACGGTAACCCGACACGCAGAGTTTCACAACTGCTGCTCCGCTCTGACCCTCCAACAGCCCCGTGAGTCAAACCAAACCTCAGTCCCAGGCCTGCTTCCCTCAGCCCAGACCTCCGTTTTCTCTCCTTTAATCCAGGATGACCCCCCCCCCACATCCCCCCGTTCCAACCCCCCTTTGTCTCCGCTTGGTTTCACCTCGAAAGAGCATCAGGCTCCATTTTCAGCTTCAGAGAAAGTGGGAGAAAAGCAAAAAAGAAGGTCAGAAGCAGGACTTAAAACGCAGTTTGGCCCAAAAGACGACAACGTCCAGCAGATGACCGAAAACCAGACCCACAAACGCACAACATCCAGCATTTTTTCCACTCACTTTGAAACCCCGAGCAAGCAAGTTTTAAAAGTCTGAATATTTCAGAGTCCCTGGTCGATCTGCTCTGCCCCAGATCAGCCTCCACACTCATTTCATCTTCATATTTAAGCATTTTCTGTCTTCTCAGCTCTGTTTGACTGCTTGTTTCTAGCTCCTGAACACATGTTTCCACTTCTGTCTGAAAAATATGCTGGAATAGAGCTCATTTAGTGGAAATCAGAGCTGGTTCTGGAGGCAAAAAGCAGCAGAACTCTTGAGTTTTCTGGAGTCTAGTT